TGTCGTGTTGCATTTTGCATTGCACGGTGGAGGACTACAGCTGTTATCCTGACTTCGGATCGCATGATTTTTCCTTTAAAACTGAATAATTTAATTCCTTCGGAAGGTAGAGCAAAGTTCGATTAGAATTTAACTCATTAATTTAATTCAAGAAAAACAACTCGGAAGTATTGGAATTGGAGTTTGCCAACAAGGTATTCAATAATTCTTATATATTACTAAATTATATTAATATTTGTACGCGATATTAAATACGTGAGAATATATTTCAAGAACTGATTGCTTCGAAAACTCGCCAACGATTTTGAAATATTTTATATATGTTATAAAAATGTATATTATAATATTAATATCAGTAGTTACGAGTAAAATAATGAATTACATTTTTCTGATTTTTCAACAAGTAATGGTAACAAAAGTTCTAAGAAAAGAAGTCCGCTGATTAGAATCGACGGAGGTCTTCCACTGGTAGTGGAAGATCTTTCCAAGCTAATTTGTTTTTGTCATATTATAATTGCCAGGAAAAAATATATGATTTTATTGTAACGTATATTTTAGTGTATAGTGTATTATATTAAAAAAAAAAGAAAAACCTAGCAGTTTGACATTATAATTATTTGTCATTCGATATCAAAATGATGTCTTTAATGCTATTTTGATGTAAAAATAGTGTCAATTTGCTGAAAGATAAAAAAGAAAGAAGTCTGTCGATTGTAATCAATGAGGGTAGGCCTCTCAGAAATTCAGAGAAAAGGACGTGGATGTGTCATTCACCGAAAATATCCATGGCTATATAATTAATTCTTTGTGCACACGGAAGTGTCAATAGACAGGTTCATTTAAAAACACAGGCATCTACTCTCAGCCGTTTAGGTTTCTCTCTGTACTATTACCTGAAAAAGGTCGTTCCGACGTTTTTTGAGATTAAACTGATTGAAATTAAATTAGCATTTGTTTAGAACACAAAATATGTTCAAAACTGCGAATTACTTAATTCCACTATAGAAATAAGATATTTTGTTTTATATACATTTATTAACATGAAGCTGCATGGGCATACAATGCTATACACCGTTATGAAAAATACAACAATAACGTAACATTTATATAGTATAACTTCTTTAAAAGAATTATATTCAACAAGGACAGTGCGCATATGTTTTAAGCTAAAGAGAAAATTTATAAATGATATCAACGATAAATATACATATAAATCTTACTGTAAGTGAACACAAATATTAAAAATGGAAAGTATAATAAATAATACCGTAAGTATGCTGTTATAATGTCACATAGTCGTCATATTACGTACAGGGCAAAAGAATATTCACGTATTGTATCCATTCACGCAACAAACTCATCACGTACGGTTTTCCAAATGTACGTGAAAAATCGTCAAACATCCAACATGAGAAATGCAATATAAATAAGTGCATAGTTGATCGATGAAACGTATTCCTCGTAAAATCACAATTTTTATCGTGGCAGATTGAGATGCCGAGCCCGGCTGAAATACGGGTCAAAGCGGTCCCAAAACGGACGTCTCACTATTTGCGGAAAACGAGTATATAACGAGTTCGCAGATTAATACCGCGATTCGAAACACATTATTTCTTTTTCGCAAAAAATAATCTTATTCTTCCGCTTTCGGGGAAGCGTAACATACATTACATCGAAGAGAGCGAAGTCTTTCTGGAAGATGCGTGGCGCTTTTAATAAATGTTATCGAGAATATTTCCTAACATTATGCTAAATAATGAATGCTAAATTGCTTCGTAGGCTACATCAACGCCAATTCTCGTGACCGAGCCGTTCAAAAATTTTTCAAGCTCGTCTCGCTCTCGATTCTCGTCCTTGGATCGATGAGATGAGCGTTTTTTCTTTT